TGACTTACCACGCCGGCAAGATAGAACCATTCCCATCTCAGGGGCTCCAGAATCATGTCCAACTTCTTTGGATCACGCGCGTGCAATCCTGCCGCACGAAGGGAGGCATGATGCGTGCAGGAATCCAAGATGCGTACTGCCCAATGGCAATTGGGATTATCAAACTGCGGACCGCTGGACAACAAGGGTAAGAGTTCGTCTGCTGGACTGCCAATTGCAACTGGAACGCCGGTGTCGCAGGGAGGTTCATCTCGAACCTGAGCGCCAGGACCGACAAGGCCTGAAGGTGGAGGATCGCGTTGTCCCTCAGGTACCTGATTGAGAGCATGAAAGTCGCTCACGGTACAGCTGGTCAGAGGAACAACGCCAATGGATGTAACATCGCTCGCGCCAGTGTTTTGGGAGGAAATCGAGGACGGAGTGCCCAGAGGATTTGGTGCGCCATCCTCAGACACCGGAGATTCCGAGGTTTGAGTCGATGAAAGTGAATCGCCGGATGTTCTCTGGGGTATGTCCACGACAATTGTTGGGGTATCCCCCTGGTAAAGCTGGGCCGGGAGAGGGAGTTTCGGCACATCCGTCACAATTGCACCATAGCCCCAGCTTTGGAGAGCACTGTGATACATGGCCGCCAAAGGAAAGAATCTTGGAAGAAAGGTTGAGCGATTGTACTGCGTCTGGTGAGGCCGAGAGAAGGCAGATTCGTCGTACTGCACGAAACTTGAAGGCTTCGGGGGATCGGTCGAGCTCCCAGCCTGGTCTGTGTCTGTGTCTGGACTGACGTAGTCCCGGGACACGCCGCCTTGCGGAAGAGTCTCGGTCCCCGGGTTAGGTGGAGAACCAGCGGTATGACTGGCGGAACTTGCACTCTCGTCCGAATAAACCGGCAGTTGGTGCATGCCAGATATGCACGACGGAATCGGATGCCTCCGGCGGCTGGGATGTCTGTCACAGTCGTAGGTGGTAAGGAGGATGTGATAGATTGACGAGACTTGTCGAGAGGGGGCTCGTCCATTGGCGGATGCGTCGAAGAGGGGGGTGGACTGTCCAGAAGGCTGGAGCGGCAGGGAGCGCTAGGGAAGCTGTATCCAAGCTGTTGAGCATCGCCTCCACGATGAGAGAGGCACACCGATGTCAGATGGGTGTCGTCCTAGTAGCAACCAGCCTCCAAGTGTGGGTACCGGCGGGATTGCAATGGCACCGAGCTCCAAATGTCGACAATCCAGATGCAGTTGAGAAGCACACCAGACGTTTTGACGCCGGATCTATGCGGTAGACTAAGCCGGATCAGGGCGGCACACTTCCCTTTCACTTGCATCCATGATCCTGACTCCTCAGCGCTCAGCGCTCTAGTCCGTCGACGGTGCTCCTTTTTGCATTGACGCTGAAGAGATGGTCGTATGCTCTGTCAAGAGTCCAGCTCCGACCCATCTTGTTACCGTCCTACTTTGGATCGGCAGTTGGGCCCGACGGATAGAAGTCTCTCTCATCATCTCATGACGGCTGGCTATTCTGGTCTCCGGAATTCTTGAGTCATGACTCATCCGCACCCTTAGATTTTCCTCTTTGGATGCCGATCCAGCGTCTCTTCAGGAACAAACTTGTCAAATGCACGTGAGCAAAACTTTAAACCGTATACACGAGAATAACCGCCTCAGTCTCATTTTACATGGCGCGTTTCTACTGGTGGGCCTCCGGATGAATGATCCATCATTTGGAAGCCATGCCTCCGGCCTTTGCATATAAATCTGTCCAGCAGTGTGTGCTCATCCCACAAAAATGCTGTTCTCGCCACTCGTTTTCTCACTCTTGGCTCTAGTGTCGACTGCCTACGCGCAGTGCTCGTTGTGAGTAATTTTTCTTTGATTCTCTCTGACCTTGAACTTCCCCCTTTTCAGAGTCGGTTACATTGGAGCGTTTAACAATGAGACTGGGGCTTTCATCGGCGCGGTCGTGAGTGGTGTTCGTGAGCCTTAAAGTTCACATGCTCAACCGAAGCACAAGGCACGAGCGCTGGGATCTCAAGGAATCTTCAGTAAGCCCCCGCCGGCTCTATTTCCTATTCTCACCCTTGCGCTTAGCTCTCGACACAACCGGAGTGTCAGCCAACTACTTAGGCGTAATCGGAATCACCAACGACACCAACACCGGGACAGCCGTTCTTCTTCAGTACGCGCGCTCCTATCCTTGAATCTCCATAATTTCTCAACGGAGATCAGAATTATCAGCCCCGTCGACGCGAACGTTCCTTTTGTCGGCATCGTGGCGGGGTTCAACAATGTTACCTGTTTTGGCAGTCAGCCCATTCCCAGCGAGTCGGGCTGGGCTGCGCAGATCATTCCGACGGATGGATCGCCGCGTTAGTAGTTTCATGATTCTTGCCGCTAACGGGTAGAATAACTCATGATCAGGTGGACCGTTCCCCGAACCTGGAGACACCAAGTCGACTCTTCTAGGCGACTACGGCACCCTTTCAGTGTTTTGCGGCGAGCCGATGGCGTTTACCATCCGAAGTAACCTTGGAATGAATACTCTTATACCAATATGGAGTGAGTTTCTCTCCGGCGCCGTGAAGCTGGGATGAAAATGAATTTAATGTCCTGCGAATACTAGCTGACCAGTTTGGCATCCAACATACGCTCATCTTCCTTCATGACACGACCAATAACCGACGTACGTCCTTATCATTCCTTTCAAGCACAGCTGACCACTCGAGTAGTCTCTGTCTCACCCAGTCTCGCATCTTACGCTGCGATTGCTCATGGACCGGTGCCCCAGACTCAGGAAGTCGTACGTTGAGCTGCTGGATCCTCGGCATCGAGGCTGATGTGTGTTCAGGTTATAGCCATTTTCACCTGAAGGTTGCGGGAAATCGGAGGAGGCGGAGGAGGCGGAGTTGTCCTGCTGGAGTTTCAACTTGTATCACTCGGGAACCGGAAGAAAATGAGATTGCAATTCGTGCGCGGGCTATTCGAGCGCGGGATGAATATAATATAATCGTAAATTCGATCACCTTGGAGCTGAGAGGAAATCTCAAGGAAATCTACAGTTTGGGTGAGCGGACTCCGGAGCCGGACGCGGCGGCCTACATGGAGCCCACCATCATTGATCTGATCAATCCTTTCTTGTCAAATCCCTTCACCTTCCGCCAGCGGGTCCCAGTGATCTACTGTCGCAGAGGTCTGCAGCCGGTACTTGAAGGATCCCTTCTTGAGCGCTTCGCATCTTCTCACTGCAACCCGAGGACAGCAAGTGCCTGGATGCCAGGCGGCCGGTGTTCTCATGCTCTTTCCAGGGACACGTTCTGTCCGCCGATTACTTGGCTACCTACCCACACGTCAAAGGGGGAAAACCTCTGGAACCAGTGATACGAATCAGGAAGAATCGAGCAACACGAATCCCGGCCAGTCCGATATCAACACCGGCGAGCTCCTCCTCTGCGGCACACAAGATGCTCTTGCCACTGCTTATCACAACCTTCACGATACTACTTTCAAATGCCCGTGCGCAGTGCTCGCTGTAAGTCATTTGCCTCTTCGAATCCGACACTGGATATAATCGACGTTCGTTCTTCGACTTAAGGCACAACTTGTCCAACATTCACGCAATTTGCCGTTCGATCTGATAGGCTCGTGTACTTCACATAAGATGTTCTTCATTGTCGCCGCGCTTGTCTCGACTGCCCTTGCGCAGTGCTCGCTGCAAGTCCCGTCAATGCCTAATTCCTTTACGCACTAAGGGAAAATTTATAGTTCTGGCTATCTTGGAGCATTCGACAGTACGACTGGCGCCTTTGTTGGCGCGGTAGGACGTACATTGGAAAACTCTGGAATCTTCAGCAAGTCGCGCTTCATCGGCGATCGATTCCACTTCTGATGTATGTACTCGTAGCTCTGGACGTGACAGGAAACACCGCCAACTATCTCGGCGTCATGGGAACCACCAATTCCACCTCCTCGGGCGATGCAATTGTTCTCCAGTACGTACAAGTATCCCTACTTCTTGCAGATATTGAATGTCGCACCAGAATCATCAGCCCGGTCAACCCGACCGTTCCCTTCGTCGCCCTGGTCTCAACTACAACTGACTGCTTCAACGTCCCGAACCCCATTGACAATGGCGACGCGCCTTGGGTTGCCTTCGTCACACCGTCCGATGGATCTCCGCGTGGCCCGTTCCCACTTCCCGCAGATACTAGGACGACGTTTCCGGTGGGATATAGCCAGCTAGCCACTTTCTGCGGGGAGCCGATGGCGTGGACCACTCGAAGTGACTTTGGACTCGAAATTTTGGTGCCCATTTGGAGTGAGTGTGACTCCTGGCGCGGAATCTTATTATTGCTGATGCAGTTCAAGCCGACCAGAATGGCAGTCAGTGACTCTCTGGAAGGTCTTCAACCTCGTTCATAACCTAGGTAACCCACTGCAGATCAACATTCGCTCATCGTCATGTATGATGTCGGCCAAAACATCTGTATGTCCCAGTTGTATTTTGCAACGCATACTGATGGTATTGATCAGTGGGCGTGTCGCCGACTGTCGCCTCATACGAGGCCGCCAACAACAACTCACCCTGCGAAGAAGTTGTACGTGCGACAGTTTTAATGCCATATCGTTCTGACTGTTGTAGGTTTTTTCAATCATTCACTGAAGAAGCCGGGGTGTGGGATTCCGGAACTCGTATGCATATGTTCAAATATCCAGAAATTCGACAGCTGAAAGTTGAGCGGGATGAATTGAGCTTCGATGAGCGGATCCCTTGGGCCGTCCACGGATTACTTCGGCCGCCACAACTTCTTCATCCATTTCCACATGTCCCTTGACTGCGACGCGGGTTCTGCTACTCGACCCGGCGACAGAAGCCACCTTCCTACTTGGTGTAGAATTCGGGAACCCAGAGTAGTTGTAGAATTACATGGGGTGTTGTTTGAATAAAAGTAGACAGCTTGGGCAGGATGATTGCGCGGAGGGTAAAAAGGAACTGTTCAAAAAAAGCATTGATGGCCATCGTGGGGGTCGAACCCAAGACCTTCGCGTAATCAAGCACTTGATATTAGCACGACGCTCTAACCAACTGAGCTAGACGGCCATGAGAGGCGGTGCCACACGCGTAGTATATCCAAAAGATCACGTGCGATCACAGCTCGTAACGGTACTTCTGACATGAAGTTGTCTTCCGACCACGTTCTCAGCTCAGTTCGCGACCCGACGACAGGAGGTTCCTGGATATCGATGTGTTCTCGTGGATGATGGCCCGCGCCGGTGGCGTATCATGATGTACTACTATCATCACGCGGAGTTGCAGGCCAATGTGCATATCATTTTCGACCCAGGCACCTTAGGCTGTCAAACAGTCAAACGCCAAATACGCGCGTATGTTGGACTTCTGTGATTTTGTAAGGATGGAAGAAATGCATCTATAAGCGGGCAGCTCGAGTTACCCCGACTGACACCTCAAGCTAATGTTGTTCAAGTCGCTACTACTAGTACTCGCTCTCGCAGCAACCTCCGCCCTTGCGCAGTGTTCACAAAAGTTGGTCAGGGCCTTTCGCTCACTCTTCGCATTGACATCTTTAGTGCCGGCTATCTGGGCGGATTCGACGCCACGACTGGGAATTTCGTCGGCGGAGTCGTACGTTTAATCTGAGTTCCAGGGCGGGTACCCATGGTAAATTACTTCCAGGGACGCACCCTTGGGAGTCTCGGGTGCTTCAGCGAGTGCCCTAGTTAATGAAGAATTGAGAAGAGTCGGTGGAATTTCATACAGCTCTCGACATATCTGGAAACCGCGCCAACTACCTGGGTGGCGTCGGATTGGTCAATTCCAGTTGATTGCAGGGAAGCGGATTATTGAACCGTGGGAATGTATGTTCGATTGCAGATTTCAATGCCAGTGGCGGGGAATTGGAGTAAATAGTAGGTCTTCTTGGCTTGATTTTATTGAAGATCTTTCGTAATTACTATCGGAGTCGCCGAAGAAAACAGTCTGTGGAGGCAGAGTTGTGTCTCACAACTTATCCATTTGATCCGGTCAATTTGAATCGCTTATCAATCACCTCTTGTCTTCTGCCACCATCTGCCACCGGCATTCAAGTAGCGCTGTGTGCTCTGTACCCGATGCTCCCTTCTTCTGCATGCATTAGGAACTCAGTTCCGGCCAACCCAGTGACAGCAAGTACCTGGATGTGGTCGCGCTCTTATGCCATTTCCCACGCGGCGGGCGGCCGGATCACCCATAGGCATCGCTGCCTTTGCGCATAGCTGAATCTCTGTTGTTACTGGTGGTGAGTGCTGCAAGGTACAGGGACTACTATTATCGACATCCTTCAGCGGGCACCCACCACTTGACTCTCTCGACATCCGGATATCTGGCCTTTTCAGTCGCTTCCACGATTCTCTTGCTCATCGTTCGGCGATCGGGAACCTCCAGCCAGGCACAACCACGTCCAACAGTCAGTCAAGCGCGCACATCAACGTTAGGTGGGCCCATCTTATCCTTTCAATTGTTCTTACTGGCAAAAGAACCCGGTCTTCTCTGTCTGTCCTCATAAATACTCGCGGCAAACATACACACGCTTAAAGATGATGTCCTTGCGATTCCTCTTGCTCGTCCTTGGCGCTCTGGTCTCGACTGTTCTCGCGCAGTGCTCGCTGTGAGTCAACCGACGTCTTTGTCAAAGTTTTCATCACCCACCTCTCGTAGTGGGGGCTACCTGGGAGCGTATGACAGCACAAGCGGGAACTTTGTCGGCGCGCTGGTAAGTAGTTGCCCACGATTCGAAGAATTTCTATCAATTTCCATTACAGGCGCGAAACCTGGGGTCTCAAGGAATATTTAGTACGTCTGCTCCAAACCCTCCCTGTTGGAGCTCTCCCTAACGCAGTAAACGCAGCTCTCGATCAAACCGGAAACCGCGCCAACTATCTAGCCGTGATTGGATCCGCCACTTCGACGCCGATAGGGGATGCCGTTTTGCTTCAGTATGATCCTCCCTGGCTCAAATATCAGTTATGAATGGTAGCCTCGCAGAATCCTGAGTCCCGTCGACCCGAGCGTTCCCTTCATCTCCGTTGTTGCCGGTTCCACGGACTGTAGGAATGGGATCCCCATTCCCAATGGCGATACCCCCTTTGCTGCGGAGATCGTGCCGTCGGATGGGTTTCCTTGTATGTCTTGGATTATTTCTTGACTTCAAATAGTATCTCGTTGACTCTCTATCTTAGTGGGCGCGTTCCCCCTCCCAGGAGACACGCAGACGACTCTATTGGGCGGGTACGGCGACTTGTCTACCCTTTGTGGGGAGCCCATGTCATTTGTTATTCGGAGTGACTTTGGCGGGAATGTGCTGGAGCCTGTTTGGAGTGAGTGCAACGTATAGCTCAATTGGGTTCTTTACGAATCGATGCAGCTGATCAGAATGGCGGCCAACACTCGATGATAATCGTGCGTGATATCACGAACAATCGGCGTGCGTGCTTTTCATGCAAGCCATATTGATGCTTACGGGACGAACGTCGAAAGTCGCTGTTACGCCGAGTCTTGTGTCATATGCTGCGGCCAGCTCAAATCCGCAAGTTCAACAAGTGGTGCGTGATTGCACTACTGAGTTTGTCCCTTTCTCATGACGGTCGCTGCAGGTTCTTGCGTTTTTCACGTAGGATAAATCCCGCGATCAAATGACTAACGTACTCCCACGGTTGTATTCTGTGTTCAACTTGCAATTATGGTGCTCTCTAGTTGTCGCGGACTTGATCTTCCAACCATTTCCACAGCTTCTCGGCAGTCTCGGGGTCTAACGTATTGCGTTGCGGATCCGGAGAACCTATTCCCGCCCACGGTATCAAATACTACCAACATCAGATTCTTTGATACCCGGCGGAAATCCGAAATGTATCGAACCTCGCCGCTCGCAGACGCCGCCTCGGGCGCTGTACCTACCCAAAGTTGAGTTGCAGCGCCATTGGTGGTTTATGACACAAAGCATGCTGAATGAGACAGTTCATTTTGTGGTATGGAAGCAGAATGATTCTCTACGTAGGATAAGACGGCGTTTTAATGGGTGGTAGTGCCTCAATCCTGTCAACACTGTAGCGCTTCGCGAATTCGGACGAGAATACGACGTTGCCCTGTGACACGGTGGCGAGGAGATGTCAGATTGTGAGGCCACCGACGAATTTGCTCTGAGCATACAGATCGTCGGGCGAGTAGAAATGGCCTGCGGTGCATCAGTGTGTTGGTAGAAAATACACGATGTTGAAACCTAGGACGTTAACCCCAAATTGTAAGTCATAGCCCTCGTGAGTCAAGAGCTCGGGCGGAGCGGCCACGACACCCAAAGGACACCGCTGGACGGATTCTAGAGCGGAATAAAAGGTATCCGGGGGCACTCACGCATTGTTGAATAGAATGTGCAATTCTGGTTCCCTGCTAGGACGAGTTTGAGAATCTTAGTACCTTGACAAGAGGAAAACGGACTAACTTGCGAAACCAGCTATTGGATTTACGTGAGCGAGACCAGCGAAACACCGAAGACGCCGAGGACTCGGATCACACGCCGCCATCAAACTTTTCTTTTTCACCACCATCATTCTGTCAGTCGATGAGGGTTATTATTGCCCCGTTGAGGAGTCAGGACCCACCAGCAACACCCACCTGTAGACATGCCCGTTGGCGTTGTTCCTCTCGTCCTCGGGGCTGCGGCCCTCCTATATTACTTCGCCGCCAAATCCAAGAGACACCCTCCTGGTCCTCGGCCCCTGCCTATCATCGGGAATCTCCTCCAGATGCCAAAGGACTATGAATGGAAAACATTTGCCGAGTGGACTAAGGCCCAGTTCGGTACCACTAAATAGTATTTAGACATGAGAATACTTTTTATCTCCGGGATCCAAAACAGGTATCCCAGAGCTGAACCCAATTACACCATCTGTCCCGCGATGTCACCAAGCGGTGCCGCTTAATTGCAAGCAATCTACACGCGTCTTGCACGCGACGACAGCGTGTTCCGCAGTCGTCCAAGACTAGGGCTGTTCGCCGTGCCCGGCACGGAGAACGACGGCTTCAAATTATCTGATCTCCTCGATTTATGAAAGTAGACAATGTAAACTACAACCGAGGTACAAAGCCCCGAGGTAAACCAATGAGAATTGAGGACTTGCCATGAAGGCTGGCAGCTCCAGTCGTGCATATCTATGCCATCAATGGTATCACACATTTTGGACATCCGCCACCGGCCGTCAAAGAATCCACACGGAACGGGTCGGCATACCCGTCACCGGGTACCATACAACCATGAGTACAAAATACGTGCGACGTTGGGCGATGTGTGACAAGGATTTACACTGTATTTAGTGGTACCGAACACTCCGGAGCACCAAATGCTAGCTAAGCGACGGCTCAAATACTATTCAGACCTTTGGCAGTGGGAAAAAGTATTTGGAATTTTAATTAGTGGTTCCGAACAGGGCCTAAGAAATACGGTCAGTATTCACCATACTTCAGACCCAGAGGACTGACTTGCTCACAGGGGATTGTGTCTACGTACAGATACTGGGGCAGCCTATTGTGATCCTCGGCTCGCTTTCCGCAGCCCATGATCTTTTGAGCCAACGCTCCGCTATATACTCTAGTAGACCTCGGTTGGTGATGGCTGGAGAATTGTGAGCTCTCTTCTCGGCGCGATGCTCTCACTTATATATATTTCCAGGGCTGGATTCGCACAGGCCATGCCATTGATGCCATATTCGTCACATTTTAATGCTCTCCGGCGGCTTATCCACAAAGAACTCACTGGTACCGTACTGCAGAAATATTGGTCGCTCCACGAAGACGAAAGTCGTCTCTTGATGGACAAAGTGCTCGCCAGTCCGGACGAGTTCTTGGACTCTATTCGGCAGTACGTCCTTTCCCAATTCATTTCAAAATCCTAAACTTCTCGTTGCAGCTATTCGGGATCAGTCATACTACGTGTCACATACGGCTACCAGACTGCCTCCAAGAACGACAAGTTTTTGGTACTCGCAGAGAGGGTCACGAGGGCGTTTTCTTCGGCCGCAAAACCTGGGGCTTGGGCGGTTGATATCCTTCCT